AGATTTGGCATGAGCCACCGCATCCTCAGGACCTTCTATCGCTGTGCCACTGACAGCATCCTCACTGGATGCATCTCCGCCTGGTATGGCAACAGCACCGCTTACAACCGCAAAGCTCTCCAGAGAGTAGTGTGGTGTGCAGAAAGGATTATTGGAGGTGAGCTTCCCTCCCTCCAGGACATCTATAAGAAGCGGTGCCTGAGGAAAGCGGGGAGGATCATCAAGGACTCAAGTCACCCCAGCCATAAACTGTTCAGACTACTTCCATCAGAAAGGAGGTTCTGCAGCATCCGGTCCAGAACCAGCAGACTGAGAGACAGCTTTTTCCATCAGGCCATCAGACTGCTGAACACAGCGCAGACACCTCACCCTCACTACTGAAACTCCAACAGTACACACTCCATACTGTACATTAATGCCACTGTTTTGCACATACCAGCCTCTGTATATTTTATATCTGTTATCTTATTGTTTACTTTATTCATTTGTAAAACACGTATATACACATTATACACACACTCACACGCACACACGTAGAACAATATATTAAAAAAATATACTTGCATAAACATTTAGTAATGTATATACATTACAACTTATACATATTATTACTTAGATTAGCCATTTTTATATTTTACTTGTTTTTACATTACTGTATTTTTGCATAACTCTGTTGCTGTGAAGCTCGCACACAAGAATTTCACTCGCATGTACTGTACCAGTGTACCTGCACATGTGACGTGACAATAAAAGTGATTTGATTCGATTTTGATATGTTTATGATGTATATTAATGATTGTTTCAGGTGATGTTGAGGTTTTGTGCACGCATGTGTATCTGCTAGTGTTGAAGGTGTTTTAGAGAACAACAGGTACGAATAAGATTGTTTTTTCTAAGGAAGCTAAGATCCTTTGATATAAGTAGGAGGCTCTTGAATGTGTTTTATCAGGGGATTATGTCCAGTGTGCTGTTTTATGCTGTGTTGTGTTGGGGCAGGAGCCTCACTGCTGAGGACAAAAACAGGATCAACAAAATGATCAAGAAATCTGGCTCAGTGGTTGGGCAACGCTTGGACTCATTTGACATGATCATCGACAAAAGGATGAAGCGTAAACTTAAGACAGTTATGACTCTGGAGGATCACCCCCTTCACCACATTTTTAAGGATCTCGGGAGCTCTTTCAGTGGGCGAATGTTAATGCCCCGGTGCTCCACTGAACGTTTTAGGAACTCTTTTATTCCAGCTGCAGTGCGTTTTTACAATGACCATTTCGTATGATTGTATATTTGATATTTTTATATTTTATCAGGACCAGTGAATGTTTTATTGTGTGGATGTGCATGTTGTGTTTACTTGTCCAAGGCAATTCAATTTCCCCCTTGGGGATTAATAAAGACAACCTTGAACCTTGAACCTTGAATGACCACTTCCTTCATGACACCCTCAATAAAAAGACTAGCTCCTTCATAGCACCTGCAGAAAAAAATTTCTGGAGCCACCACTGCCAGTTAACTACGTACATCCCTAGTTATACAGAAACAGATTTCATTCCCAGTCGGCTAAGGGGTTGTCAGTTTTTCTTTTGTTTTCAAAATTGGAACGTATTTGCTGTTTACGCTTTGTGAGTTTGAGTTGCTGAATCTGCAGAGTGCTAAAACAGTGTAGGCATTTGTAGACACCGGCAGGCAAAAAGCTCCAGTTATTAAAAAAAAACGAAGCCAGTAAACAGGAGAGACACAGAAATGTTTTCATGTACCCTAAGAAGCCACGGCATTTTTTGTTTTGTTTTACTTCAATATCAGGTGAAGCAGGCTGGATGCCAACTTTGAGCTAACAGTGAATTAGAAGAAAATGGCAGCTCTAAAACTATTTTTTCAGTGGAGCAAAAAAGTATTTAGTCAGCCACCAATTGTGCAAGTTCTCCCACTTAAAATGATGACAGAGGTCAGTAATAGGTACACTTCAACTGTAAGAGACAGAATGTGGAAAAAAAAATCCATGAATTCACATGGCAGGATTTTTAAATAATTTATTTGTAAATTAGGGTGGAAAATAAGTATTTGGTCAATAACAAATTCAACTCAATACTTTGTAACATAACCTTTGTTGGCAATAACAGAGGTCAAACGATTACTATAGGTTTTTACCAGGTTTGCACACACAGTAGCTGGTATTTTGGCCCATTCCTCCATGCAGATCTTCTCGAGAGCAGTGATGTTTTGGGGCTGTCGCCGAGCAACACGGACTTTCAACTCCCTCCACAGATTTTCTATGGGGTTGAGGTCTGGAGACTGGCTAGGCCACTCCAGGACTTTCAAATGCTTCTTACGGAGCCACTCCTTTGTTGCCCGGGCGGTGTGTTTGGGATCATTGTCGTGTTGGAAGACCCAGCCACGTTTCATCTTCAAAGCTCTCACTGATGGAAGGAGGTTTTGGCTCAGAATCTCATGATACATGGCCCCATTCAATCTGTCCTTAACACGGATCAGTCGTCCTGTCCCCTTAGCAGAAAAACAGCCCCAAAGCATGATGTTCCCACCCCCATGCTTCACAGTAGGTATGGTGTTCTTGGGATGCAACTCAGTATTCTTCTTCCTCCAAACACGACGAGTTGAGTTTATACCAAAAAGTTCTACTTTGGTTTCATCTGACCACATGACATTCTCCCAATCCTCTGCTGTATCATCCATGTGCTCTCTGGCAAACTTCAGACGGGCCTGGACATGCACTGGCTTCAGCAGCGGAACACGTCTGGCACTGCAGGATTTGATTCCCTGCGGTTGTAGCGTGATACTGATGGTGACCTTGGTTACTGTGGTCCCAGCTCTCTGCAGGTCATTCACCAGGTCCCCCCGTGTGGTTCTGGAAATCTTGCTGACCGTTCTCATGATCATCTTGACCCCTCGGGATGAGATCTTGCGTGGAGCTCCAGATCGAGGGAGATTATCAGTGGTCTTGTATGTCTTCCATTTTCTGATAATTGCTCCCACAGTAGATTTTTTCACACCAAGCTGCTTGCCTATTGTAGATTCACTCTTCCCAGTCTGGTGCAGGTCTACAATTCTTTTCCTGGTGTCCTTCGAAAGCTCTTTGGTCTTGGCCATAGTGGAGTTTGGAGTCTGACTGTTTGAGGCAGTGGACAGGTGTCTTTTATACAGATGTGTTCAAACAGGTGCCATTAATACAGGTAACAAGTGGAGGACAGAAAAGCTTCTTAAAGAAGACATTACAGGTCTGTGAGAGCCAGAGATTTTCCTTGTTTGAAGTGACCAAATACATATTTTCCACCCTGATTTACAAATAAATTCTTTAAAAATCCTGCCATGTGAATTCATGGATTTTTTTTTCCACATTCTGTCTCTCACAGTTGAAGTGTACCTATGATGTAAATTACTGACCTCTGTCATCATTTTAAGTGGGAGATCGGTGGCTGACTAAATACTTTTTTGCCCCACTGTACCAACAACTCAATTTTATAGTGAAATGTGCATGTGAAGTGAATAAGGAGTCAGTCGTGGCGTTTTACTTCCTATAAACTGACGATGTGTATTTCCCCTGGTGATAGGGAGCAGTATATACCTAAATCATTGCAAGCAAGCGGTGCTTTTTTGTTTAACATCGTACCATTAGGGTCAAAAATCCCTTGGAATGCAACCTCCAGTAAAGTGACAAGCACACCAGACTCGCTTTCATACCTGGCAATGAGTGAACAGGTAAATGTGTAAAACGTTTATCAATGGCAAAAGTTTGGTAACTCTTTGTTACAAATCAGTAAATGCATTTTGACCTCATGGATCCTGTAGGAGGAAACATTGCATCTAATATAAGGCATCGCCCGGAGACTTAGACCTGCTCCCGACTATTTTAGACCAGATTTTTGTGGCTATATGTCACAAAGCCACTAATAATTTTCAACAACTGAGCATAATTTAGTTCATTTTTGGCATTTTGATGGATATTTCCAGAAATAATGGCTAAGGTGACACATTGTCACTTTAATGAGTTGTTCTGACAGCAAGCCAATAGCAAGACAGCAAACACTTCAGGTGTTTCTCTATGTCAAGGCGCCTGGCCTTTCAAGACGATGTCTTGCAAGGCCAGCCGCCTTGCTTAAGAGGAGGACACTGTCCTTCCTTGCTCAAAGAAAACGGTTAAATGGAACACTTGCATCACGTGACCACGGCTTCCACAGCGGTCACGTAACATCACGTGACATGGGAGATAACGTAATATTTCATACATATTAGTTTCAATATAAATATATAACAAAGCTTTTACTTTTTAAATTGTGTATATATTTCTTAAATTAAATATGTAAGCGAGTTACTACCCGCTAGCCACCGAAGCTTCAACTAATAAGCAACTAAACAACCATAGATAACTTCTTTGGATCTAAAAAAACATTTAAATTTAGCTGACTTACTTTTAAACTTGAAATTTGCCCCCGAAGTAGCTGCCGGCTTCTGATCCGCCATCCTTTTGAAAATATTGCGGTGTATTCAGGGTAAATTTTGACCAAGGCTAGGCTACAAGACACCTCCCATGTATCCTTACTCAGCTAGCTAAACGGCTAACACACGGAGAACACACGCCTCGGTAGAACATGACCACTGGAACACGTCTTGGCGGCTCCTGATGACATATCTCCTAGGCAACCAGAGCGGGGCCAAGACATCAAGGCAAGGTTCCTTGGCATTGTGAAACACCCCTCCTGTAATGCTGAAGACAAACTACCTTAATAAGTGTGGCAAGTGCTTCCTACTGTAAAACACCCCCAGGATTGCTAACAGCAGATATCAGAATGTATTTATATACTTACTGTGTATGACTCGTCTTTGCTTGTCATCTAGTATCTTCTGGTGCTGATCTGTAACTGGCAACAGCCACGAAATGAATGAGAGTAGTATTTTTGCTTAAGAATGGACTGCAGTAACCACATTTGACCACAGGATGTCATTCTTACAAACGGCACCTTTAAGCCCAACATATTTCATTCCAGGAGTTAATAACCACAGAGTGGGACCTGTACCATGACTACACTACCAGTCAGGTAGGCCTGCACGACCTGTTGAGAGAGTTTAGAGCAGAGATGGACGTCTACAGCCGTGAGCCTGGCAATTACAGGTATTACAGCTGTCTGACAGAATCATACCGTGTGTTTAAGCTGTCCTGTCTCACTTATAATTTGGAATGAATTTGAATTATGGCTTAATGCAGGGGTATTCAGTTCCAGTCCTGGAAGTATGGTATCCAGCACGTTTTAGCGGTTTCTCTGATTCAACACACTTGATTCAGTGGTTGAATCACCTGAGCAGCAACTCATCAGGCTCTGCAGAAGCCTGTTAAATTTAATCACCTGCTGATAGTTTGAACACACCTGATTTCAGAGTTAAAACTAAAACGTGCTGGATAATGGACCTCCAGGCCTGGAATTGACTACCCCTGGCTTAAAGTAATTGATTTATAAATGTTCCTTCTGTTCTCCAGGTTCATGGCGACAGAATCGTATGATTACCAAGAGGTGGACAAAACCATGATGTACTACGGCACCCCGTTGCTGAAGGAGAGTGACTTTCCTTTTAACTTCTACCTGCTGGATCTGCCTCAGAACATCAGCGGCTGGTGGGCTAAACATCTGGTTGACCTCTGGATGACCAACATGCCTAGAGGAAAATGGCCCAACTGGGTGGTGAGTAGAACTCAACTATGTTTGGGATACTCTTGGCCCACATTTCTCCCCTGCATCCTTTGACTTTGTTTCGTTCTACCTCCTCTGTTAGGTTGGGAACCATGACAGGTCAAGAATTTCTTCCAGTGCTGGTAAGATCTACATTCGTGCCATCAACATGATGTTACTGACCCTGCCTGGCACACCTACAACCTATTACGGTGAAGAGATAGGCATGGATAACATTAACATCACGAAAAGTCAGATGCAAGATCCTGCTGGCAAATACAACATGGTCAGTACCGAATAAACACAAAAACACATTAATATAAGAATAATTTAATTACTGACACACACAAAACTAGAAAATACACAAATTAACTTTGTATTTATTCCTGTTCCTGACCTCAGAGTGCCAGTCGGGACCCTGAGAGGTCTCCAATGCAGTGGAACGGTGACATGAACGCAGGCTTCAACAATAAAACCAACATCACCTGGTTACCCGTACATCCTGATTATCAAACCGTCAATGTGGAGGTAAACAACTCTTTTAGTTTAACATTCAAAAGAGAGCTGGGACGATCTACTTCCTGTTTAATCACATCTGTTCTCTACCCTTCAGGCCCAAATGAAAGACGAAGGTTCTGTGCTGTCTCAGTATCGTTCCCTGAACAGGTTGCGTCAGTCAGAGCTCCCCTTTCAGCGTGGATGGTTCTGTTACATCCTGGCTGACACTAATGTCTTCTCTTACCTCAGAGAGCTAGATGGACACAAACGAGCGTACCTCATGGTGATTAACTTTGGTAAACAATCAGCCACCACAGATTTATCCTCCATTCAGGAGTTACCTGCCGATCTCAAGGTGCTAATGAGCACCAACCCAGTCAACGACGGAAAACTGTTTCAGAAATCCCGTATTCTGACAGAACCAGGAGAGGGCTTGATGATGCAGTACTCGACCTACACTCGCTTTCATCCCAATCATCCAGCAGAGTGCTTTGTCTCTGAGAAGGCCTGCTATATGGAGACCATTGACATACTTTATAAATGCTAATATAAACATGTATGAGATCATTTAAAATGACCAGTCATGATCACAAACCACTGAGATTGTTCTTTCAAGTCTCCTTTTTACATTTATGAGATTCTATCAAACTCAACACAGATTGATGCGGTCCTCAGTCTGCCTCTCGACAGCCATACTATCTCTTGTCTTCTACGTTGAGGCTTGGGCGGGTCCAAACCCAGTTCTGCATGTAGAAAAGCGAGCTCCAGGGCCTCCTGTGTCAGACAGAACATAAAAAACTTGGAATCCTTCAACTCAACAGCGTTAAATTGCTCCGATCCAAATGTGATAACACAGTTTTGTTAAATTTCAAAATGCACTGTTTTTATAAATGTAATATTTAACAGTGACTGCTTCAAACACGCAATATTAAACAACATTCATCGGATCTGTTGTGTGTGTGTCTGCTGTCTTCTCTAACACCAGTGAGTCGTGGCAGATGGCTGCTCATACTGAGCCAGGATCCTCTGGAGGTTTTCCTTATCTGGTACCTTAGTATGAGGATTGCTCTAAAGTCTCTGACACAAGTGTGACTTATATAGGAGACATTTGACTGATTCATTAGAACTGAACTAATATAAGCTCTGGGAATGCACACTGTTAAACATTATGTTGCTCTTCTGGGTGTTCGAGCTTCGACAAATTTAAGGAATTCAACTGCATTTCTACAATATTTGCTTTTGCATCTGGAAGCACAAAATCAAAAAACTCATTTATAAACCAATAAAAAACATTTTTATATGAATATTAACTTGTAATCAAACTACAAATGATTTAACCCTTTGATGCATGAATTATGAAATGCCAAATGATTTTCTAAACATTTTTTTTCATTCATCTTTAGGTGTGAACGAAACAAATTTCAACAAATATTTTTTGTAACATTTAATAATTTACAAATAACTTATTACATGTCCACCTCAGTGGACATTCTGAACATGAAATATGTTGGCTAGACTTACAGAAGGCCAAAGGGAGGGGCTCAAATACAATAAAGTCTTCAACAGCTGTGCTTAATAGCAAAAAAAAATTATAACAATTTTGAGTGCCTGTCCACTGTAGTGACCATTAGAATAGAATTCAACTTTATTGTCATTGCACATGTACAGGGCAACAAAATGCAGTTTGCATCCATCCAGAAGTGCTTTAGCCGTGATATAGATGTATTACAATATATATTAGCAATAATATAGATGTGTAAGTATATTACAGAAATGGATCTATTACGTATGTTATAATGTACATGGTATGAAGTATGAATATTCTATGACTATAAGTATGTACAGGCTGTAGTTAATACAAGCAGTCCATGAGTTTAACGTGGGTCATATGTCAGGAGGCAGAGTTCAGGAGTCTGACAGCTGTTGGGAAGAAACTGTGCATCAAAGGGTTAATATTTTGTAGTTCTGATCAGAACCGAGGCTGTTCCAAGATCCAAAAAAGCAGAAAAAAATAAACTAATCTTTACAAGTGGGCCTTGTCCCATGAGTAGGACATTTTAAATCTGGTGCAACAAAAAACACATTAACCAAATCCTCCAAAGATTGAGTGTTCCAGCAAGCAAAAAGAATAATTTGTTGTCTTTCCATTAATAACAGTTATGAAGTAATACGTTTGCATTTAATTAAATAATTAAAATCAATACTTTATAGCTTTGAGCAAAGAGATTCATGCAGAAAACTAGAAGTGGCTATTTTGGTTCTCTATGAACAATAACGTCCATAATGATGCCCGAGGCTTAAAACCATACAAACAAACTTTTTATACGAGGTTTTCTTTTACCTCCTGGAGCATCTGTTCAAAATCTTCTGGTCCCAGATGATTCCCTCCAGGATGGATCTTTAGAACTATATTTGGTGTTTCTTTACAATCTAAAAGGAGGAGAAACAAAAAGGTTCATGTTTATATGAGCTCATAAGGAGCTCAGTACCTTTGCTACTCCATCTGATCCACCCCTCTTCTCTCTGTGGTACGGACTGGTTCACCAGCATGGGCTTGACCTTGACAACTCAGTTTGTGGAGACTAATCTCTTGCTCTGATACACTATCTCTTTACCATGCTAATGGACCTGCCCACCCGCCTGGATGTGTCCATGCCATCAGCACTTTATCAAAGGCTCAGGAGAACAGAGAGAGACAGATTAGGGAGACATTTACACACACAGACACTAAAGCTGCCTGGTGTGTGTGTGTGTGTGTGTGTGGGTGTGCACGAGCAACACAAGTGTGCGATGGTGAAGGAGAGAGATAATATGTGCATTTGAAACACGGGAGGAGGCAGTGTGAAAGAGGAAGGGTGTAAATAAGAAGTAGCATCAGCGTGGTGAAAGATTACGAGTGAGAGGCAGAAAGAGCTTGGCTGGGGAAAAAGAGAGCAATTAGCTGACATGTGAACAGACTTTACCACAAGGTGACCAGTGTTATACTTTAGGAAGCCCTCCTCAGACACCCATACATCTATTACTGCTGCCTCTCCTGACCTTCACATTGACACTACTATTGGGAGACGACCCTGAGCTGTAAAACCTCTAGTGAAGCTCCAGAGAAAAAGGAAAATTCATGAGGAATTTGAAATTGCGTTTGTCGTCACCATAACAAAGACACACAGAAGAGTAGCTTTCACACACAAACGGGGGATTCGATTTGGAATTTTTTTGTTTTAGCAATTCATACACGAACCTCACGGGGGTAGACTCACTGCTGGGGATGCACTCTTGCAGCTGGAGGCATTACAGTATGGTGTAACGTCTGAGTGCAGCCTACGCAAAAAGTGCATTCTGTTCTACATTATGTTGCAGTTTGGTTTAAAGGTGCAGAAGGAAATGTTTTTCTGGAGCATTTTGTTATATTGCTTGAATTACAAATGTTTTGTAAAAAAATAAAAATAAAAAAATAAGGAAGAATTTTAATTATCTCACAGACATACAATCCTGGAAAAAACATATTTATTCATTGGACTGGATCGTTTCTGTCCGTCTGTCCCAGGGCAGCTGTGGCAACAATGTGGCTCATAACCATCAGTGAGTGAATGGGTGAATGACTCACGGTAGTGTAAAGCACTTTAAAGACCTCTGACTCAGAAAAGAGCTATACAAGTGTGGGCCATTTAACATTGTGAAGGTCCCGTTCTTGACTGAATCACGATCCATGCATCAAGCTACCCTGTGACCGTCTATCCCCCTCCACCCCAGTATGCGCATCAATCATGCGTTCTTGGCTTGGAGAAGCCGAAAAGGAAGTGAAGCTACAGAAGAGCTGTTTAGTATAACAAATGGGATGTTCCACTCCGTTTGTGTTTGCAAGTTTTATTTAAGGAGTTGTTTCACATGTTCAGTTTGGAATCTGGTTCCGTTTTAGTTGCTAAACGTTTAGGTGACGGACCCGTCGTCTGTGAAGGCAGCCTGGACTTTGACTGGCAGAGCTGCAAGTTTGTTGCCTAATGTACGTGTGTGTGCATGCGTGCGTGTAGCCATCCCAGAGGGGAAGGCACAATGAGTGGGAGGAGTTCTGGAATCCTACATGTTTGTAGGATTTTCTGATTGTTGGTGGCGCGAAGTTGCTATTATTTTGAAGTTAAGCATAAACTTAAAAAGATAAAAACGGCCTAGCTTTTTTCTTACCATAAAAAGGCCACATTATTAGCATGCTAAATTGTTATATGGTGTATATGGGTAAGTGTGTTATGTTAGGAAAGAAAAGGTGCCAAAAAAGTTTCAATACATAAAACTGAACCTTCTGGAACAAGCATCAGGTGTTCCTGTATTCTGGGGGTTCAGCTTGCAGGGTGGGAAAAGGAGTTGGACCTTTGGATTATTTATTTTCTAGAAGTAGCTTGCTTGGACAGCCAAGAAAATATCTTCTACTGCACTTTTAAGTTCCTACATGACTGCTTTTATGTTGGCACAAGCAGCACAAGCATTTATGTCCACATTATTGCTTAAGCAGTAAAATGCTAAACACACAGACAGAAAAATAACTGAAACAACTGGTCTTACCAAAAACAAAATAAATGATCAAGATGATTTGCTGCTGTACAGAAACAAGCACAGCAGACATCTGAATCATCACACAACACAACCCAACATCTTGGAACAGTTTAAGGTCTGAAATGCGCAAATCTATGTGTTGAATGAACAAGATGATCAGTTTCCTTCACTTCATGTGTCAGTAGCTTCGCAGTTCAGGTTGATGATGAGAGAACAGTTAAAAGGTTTGTGTGGAAGTACCTGTCTCTAGTTTCATGTTGAAGTAGGTCTGGGTGGCTTTTTGTAGACGCCGAGTGTATTTGATGACACCATCCAGAGGAACCCTGAGATCACCACTATAGGCTCTCAGCAGCATAGATGGGTAGTGCTAAAAACCCCACAAAAATGATAGAATTTTTATGATTCAGCTCTGCTTCACCAAATGTCTGTTGTAAATAAATCAACAGTGAGACATTGGATTACAGAATACTTTATAAGAACTTAAAAACAAACTGCAGCATTGAATGGATACACAACAAACAGAAAAGTACACTTAATGAGGAAAAGGAGTTAAGATGACAAAACCGATTTATTCAAATGCCAATTAGAAACAGCTTTCTCCACCTTTCCAGCTCATACCTGAGGCGTAATGTTGTGAAGGGGACAGTAGGAAGCAATGATGTGTCTGTGTTTTACATTTCCTACAGGGTCGCCCCATTCATCTCTGTCTTCTAAAGTCAGAGGCAGACTGGGATCCTCCATAGATCCCAGAACATCCAAGAACGGAGCCTGCAAGAGATACTTTGGATGAATGTGTACACTCTCTTAAAAAGAAAAATTTTGATGAAACTAATAAAAATTCAGAAGATCTTTCATGGAGGTAAAAACAAAGAGTACCTGGCCCGGAGGGTTACCAGGGTCCCACCCTGGAGCCAGGCCTGGGGTTTGGGCCCGTGAGCGAGTGGCTGGTGGCCGGGCTTTCACCCATGGGGCCCGGCTGGGCCCAGCCCGAACCGGATACATGGGCTCATCCAACTGTGGACCCACCACCCGCAGGAGGAACATGAAGGGTCCGGTGCATTGTGGATCGGGTGGCAGACCGAGGCGGGAGCCTTGGTGGTCCGATCCCCGGACAAGGAAACTGGTTATTGGGACATGGAACGTCACCTCGCTGGCGGGGAAGGAGCAGGAGCTTGTGGCAGAGGTTGAGCAGTACCGGCTAGATATAGTCGGACTCACCTCGACACATAGCATTGGCTCTGGAACCCAAGTCCTTGAGAGGGGTTGGTCACTCTCCTCTGCTGGAGTTGCTCCAGGTGAGAGGCGCAGGGCTGGGGTTGGCTTTTTTTTAGCCCCAAGACCCTCTGCCCGTGTGTTGGGGTTTACCCCAGGGGACGAGAGGGTAGCTTCCCTGCGCCTTCGGGTCGGGGAAAGGGTCCTGACTGTTGTTTGTGCTTATGCGCCAAATATCAGTTCGGATTACCCACCCTTTTTGGAGTCCCTGGGACAAGTGCTAGATAGTGCTCCATCAGGGGACTCCATTGTCCTGCTGGGGTACTTCAATGCTCACGTGGACAATGACAGCATGACCTGGAGGGGTGTGATTGGAAGGAACGGCCCGCCTGATCTGAACTCGAGTGGTGTTTCATTATTGGACTTCTGTGCAAGCCACAGTTTGGCCATAACGAACACCATGTTCAAACATAAGGATGCCCATCAGTACACTTGGTACCAGGGCAGCCTAGGTTGCAGGTCGATGATAGACTTTGTAGTCATATCATCTGACCTGCGGCCGTATGTTTTGGACACCCGAGTGAAGGGAGGAGCGAAGCTGTCAACTGATCACCACCTGGTGGTGAGTTGGATCAGATGGCAGGGGAGGATGCCGCGTAGACCTGGCAGACCCAAACGCATGGTGAGGGTCTGCTGGGGACGCCTGGCAGAAGAACCTGTAAAGACGGTCTTCAACTCCCACCTCCGGCAGAGCTTTCACTGGGTCCCGAGAGCAGTGGGGGACATAGACTCCGAGTGGGCCTTGTTCCACTCTGCGATTGTTGAGGTGGCTGTTGCTAGCTGTGGCAACCCCTGTACCCGATTGTGGACACCAGAGGTTCAGGGAGCCATCAGGCTGAAGAAGGAGGCATACAGGGCGTGGCTGGTCTGTGGGTCTCCGGAGGCAGCAGACGGTTACCGGATAGCCAAGCGTGGTGCAGCAGTGGCAGTTGTCGAGGCAAAATCTCGGGCGTGGGAGGAGTTTGGTGAGGCCATGGAGAAAGACTATTGATCGGCGCCAAAGAGGTTCTGGCAAACTGTCCGGAGCCTCAGGAGAGGAAGGCAGCAACGCGCTCACACTGTTTACAGTGGGAATGGGGCGCTGCTGACATCAACTGGGGCTATAGTCGGGTGGTGGAAGGAATACTTTGAGGAGCTCCTCAATCCCACCTACACGCATTCTGAGGAGGAGCCAGAGCCGGGAGACCTGGGGATGGACTGTCCAATCTCGGGAGCAGAAGTTGCTGAGGTAGTCAAACAACTACACAGGGGCGGAGCCCCAGGGGTGGATAAGATTCGTCCTGGGTATCTCAAGGCTATGGATGTGGCAGGGCTGTCATGGTTGACACGTCTCTGCAACATTGCGTGGCCATCGTGGGCAGTTCCTGTGGAATGGCAGACCGGGGTGGTGGTCCCCATCTTTAAGAAGGGTGACCGGAGGGTGTGTTCCAACTATAGAGGGATTACACTCCTCAGCCTCCCTGGAAAAGTCTACTCCAAGGTACTGGAGAGGAGGGTCCAATCGATAGTTGAATCTCAGATTGAGGAAGAGCAATGTGGTTTTCGTCCTGGCCGTGGAACTGTGGACCAGCTCTATACCCTTGCAAGAGTGATGGAGGGGGCATGGGAGTTTGCCCAACCAATCCCCATGTGTTTTGTGGATTTGGAGAAGGCTTATGACCGTGTCCCCAGGGGCACCCTGTGGTGGACATTCCAGGAGGCTGGGGTGGGTGGCCTTTTGTTAAGAGTCATTCAGTCCCTTTACCAGAGGAGCGCGAGTTTGGTCCGCATAGCCGGTAGTCGGACCTGTTCCCGGTGAAGGTTGGACTCCGCCAGGGCTGCCCTTTGTCACCGGTTCTGTTCATTACCTTTATGGACAGAATTTCTAGGCGCAGCCGTGGTGTGGAGTGTGTCAAGTTTGGTGGCAGGAGAATCTCGTCTCTACTTTTTGCGGATGATGTGGTCCTCCTAGCCTCATCCAGCTCTGACCTTCAGCTCTTGCTGGGTAGGTTCGCGGCCGAATGTGAAGCGGCTGGGATGAGGATCAGCACCTCCAAATCTGAGACCATGGTTCTCGACCGGGAAAGGGTAGCTTGCCAACTCCAGGTCGGGAGAGAGGTCCTACCTCAAGTGGAGGAGTTTAAGTATCTCGGGGTCTTGTTCATGAGTGAGGGTAGGAGGGATCGGGAAATCGACAGACGAATTGGTTCGGTGTCTGCAGTGAAGCGGATACTGAGCCGATCTGTTGTGGTGAAGAGGGAGCTGAGCCAGAAAGCCAGGTTCTCGATTTACCGGTCGATCTACGTCCCAATCCTCACCTATGGTCATGAGCTTTGGGTAATGACCGAAAGAACGAGATCGCGAATACAAGCAGCCGAAATGAGTTTCCTCCGTAGGGTGGCCGGGCTCAGCCATAGAGATAGGGTGAGGAGCTCGGACATTCGGGAGGGACTCAAGAGTAGAGCAGATGCTCCTCCGGATCGAAAGGAGTCAGTTGAGGTGGTTTAGGCATCTGGTCAGGATGCCTCCTGGACGCCTCCCTGGGGAGGTGTTTCGGGCATGTCCTGCCGGCAGGAGGCCCCCGGGTCGAGCCAAGACACGTTGGAGAGGTTACATCTCCAATCTGGTCCGGGAACACCTTGGGGGCCTGCCGGAGGAACTGGTGGAGTTGGCTGGGGAGAGGATGGTCTGGAGCTCCCTAGTTGGGATGCTGCACCCGCGACCGGGCCTCGGATAAGTGGAGGAAGACGACGACAATAACAATTATTTATATTAAAACTCTATATCTGCTAAAGCCAGTTTAATTACAACCCCCTGAAGAACACCATCTATGCACTGCGTAGGTCATAAGTTGGTGGTGGTCAGAGGGGCCGATGGCGCCAATTGGCAAGCTCGCCTCTGTCAGAACGCCCCAGGGTGGCTGTAGCTGCATAGTAGCTTACCATCACTGGCAGTGTGTGAATGTGAGAGTGCATGAAAGCGTCTTTGAGTGTCCTAAAAAGCGCTATATAAGTTTGATATATTATTATTATAAGCTAGATACATGGAAACATAAAAACCACCGACCCTTTACCTTCTTACCTGCAGGGTGATTGCCCGCATCATGTTTGGGTTTCTGTTGCAAAGTGCTCCCACTGGTACAGCACCAGCGCTGCAGGCTGTGAGGGCAGTCAGTGAGGGAGAAGAGATCCCCAAAGAGAAAAGGTGATGGAGACAGGCCTGAAGGTCCTCCACTCCTTTCTCTTTCCCCTCTACTCTAGCTTGTCTGTGCCAGGAGAGGCCGCGCTCCCCTCCACCTCTACAGAGCACAAACGCACAAAGCAAACTCACTTAAACTCAAATGTTTGATTCAATTCTTAACTGATTTCTTGTAAGTGTTTTTATAGCTTGTTAGATTCTACATAGTGGTAGAGATTACCTGATGTGACAGTAGGCCAGCACCCAGCCCTGATCCAACAGCAGAGTTTTTATTGGATGAAAGTCCATGTTAAGATCCCTACCATAAGCTCCATATACATGAATAAGCAAAGGAACTTGGCTCAGGTCCTCCACTGCTGCTGCATGAAACAATGTCACTGGCACCAAGGTGCCATCCTAGAAAGAGGCAGGAGAGTATTTAGTACCTAGATGTATCATTAATTCCTTCATACCTTTACTTTTAAGTCTTTTAAAGTGTTCTTACCTGGCTGCAGACTTCCAAGTGTGTGGTGATATACTTGGCTTGGTTGTTAGGGTAGGAATCATTTCCAGAGCCCGATAAAAGGAGCCCTTCCTTAGGGTACAGGACGTGTGGCACAGGTGGGTGGACTGGAGACGATAACAAGAAATCGAACACATCTTGTTGGTCTGCCAAGCCTGGTTTCTTAGATTCAAAAGCACAGGCCCAGGGAGGAAGCTTGGGAATAAATCAACAAAACCCAAAATACTAAGTAATGTACTGAGGTGTGTATATAAAAACAAAGATAAAGAAAAATAAAATATGTTTTTTCTCTAATTAGCTGCCATACTGACCGGCACAGTGTATGGATCCTTGGGATGGGTCAGTGGAATTATAATCAGAGAAAATTGATTGGAAAGAGTTTTTGCAACCAGAACACAATGGTCTCCAACCACGTCCATGTCCTTGATTATAGTGTCAGGGTCAGGGACAAACAGAGACACCCAAGAGTTCATGGACGGATCAGACATGGGAGCATGCACCACCTAGAAAAAAAGGATTTTTAAAAAAAGGGTTTTGCCTAAAAAAAGAATAAAACTCACATTAGACTGAGTAATTTACACCATCAAGGGCATCAAAGTAAAGAAACGTTTTACAAAAAAATGAGGTGGAATAAACCTGATATTCTTGTCCAGGCCCGGTATTAGTCAGTATAATGAGGCTTTTTCTCCAGTGTTCCACATGATAGAGGAGGTCCTGCTGCCGAGGCTGAACCACTAAAGGCTCCAAACCTGTGACATTCGTTAGAAGCACTTCTGAACTTGTTCTGCTGCTGCAGTTGATGGTCAGGATCTGTCGGTCTCTTGACAGTGAAACCTCAACAAACACACTGGGGTACACAAGGAAGTTAATCCTAGTTGTTTGGGAAAGCTCATGTGCGGCACCTCGTCTACTTACTCAGGCTGAGTTTGCTCATACACAGGCGTGATTCTGCTGCCGTCAGAGGTCAGGTCCAGACGAAAAACCGAGCTAGAGCGTAGTCCTTCCAGGGTTGTGTAAAACAGGACATCATCTGTGGCCCACTCTTCAAATATAAACATTCACAAAACAAACATTTGCTAGTGCTCCAATAGCTCTACCAACACAGAGACTTTTTATTATTATTTAAACACTTTCGCATTTTTTGTTTTTAAGTTTACCAAAGCTGAGGACTCCTTCTAGCTCATGTATGATGCGATGGGGAGATGATTTACTTCCAAGTCTGACAACCACACACCTTCATCACAACAAAGTTAATTCTTTAGTATATAGAACGGTCGAGGTTTTGTTTATAGCTAAAAAAGTGCAAAGGCTCAAACTTTATTTGCTCTTCTTTGTGACAAGACTTCAGGGTGGTGGCGAGATGCTTCTCTTGTGGAGAAAGACGTATTCTCTGGGTCGTCCACAGAAAGCTTTCCTCATTCTCAACTCTGCTCTTCCCTTCTTTTCTAGACGCTTGTTTGAGATTCACCACGTTCTCAGGCTCCCGTTCACCTGCAAATATAGCAAATGGGGAAGATGGGGTTTCCAAACAACTTGGAAAGTCAAAGACTAAACGGTGGATTTTAAGAATGCAGCAGACAAGAGAAGCAGTTACATTTGAATCATTTTTTATTGTGAAAGTTAATTTGTTAAATTGGTCACACAAATATTTATACTAAAATGCAGTTTCCTGCTTACCATCTCTTTGGTCCACTCTGTAGATGCCATTATCTTTGACGACGTAAACATGGTGATGTCCACAGACCTGAAACAAGACAAATCAGATTTTCAAACTAAAACAGACTTCCCACACAATACCAACATGTTGCTAATATTAATTTGATTATGATTATCCCTGAGGACATAAATCGTGACATCCAACTCTTCTGTTAACCGTGGGCTGATTATCTCAATCTGAAATGTTTAACTTAAATCTTTAGTACACTGACCTCACTGACATTAAATAACTTAAAAACAGACAGCCAGTCTTACCACTGAGTGATCAGGCATTTTAGAGAAGCTTTGGTACGTCGCCTTCAGTCGCCTGACAAAGTATTTCTGTAAGTTCCTGTACTTGTCAGTCGTGGAGCTGAGATGATCACCTGTTGAAATACTTTCCTGAAATAAAAACAATGTAATTAAACATGGAAAGACACAACTGGATAACATAATTAAGAGAAATCACGTAACAAATAATTATGTTTCTGGCTAAAGTGACTGACGCTAAATTGTAAATGGGAATTTTTGTTAGTAAACCACTGTAAACGGATGAATTGCTACAATAACAAATAAAATCAGTAATAAGTAAAAACTCCTTTACTTTTTAATTTTAGCAAACCTACTGTAAACATGTCCACTTCAGAAGTGTAACATAATCTTAGATTTCCACAGCTTTTCTATCACTTATTTCTTTTTAAAAATAATTTCTAAGTCGCTTTGGTCAAAAGCGTCTTCCAAATACATAAACAAAATTCTAAGCAACATTACCGCTAGTATTTAAGAGAAAAGTTTATTCAAGGTATCTAACAACCATTATGTTTCTGCTTTAACTCATGTTGGTTTACTGCATGTTTCAGATTGCGGCAAAGGGAGACTCATGTTCAAAAAATGCCTAGTTAGAGAAATATCTGATTACCAAAATAGGAGTCTGACTGAACAACCTTACCGACGAGCAACACCGCTGGACAGACAAGGAAAATCGTTTGGAAACGATTCGCTCCCAGATTTTTAACTGAGAAAGTGAGGCACGAGCACACGAACACATCAGAGACGAGAAAACAATCATTCTAAACAGTGTTAGCTAGCCACAACAAATAATAAGTTTAGCTAATTTATTACACGTTTACGAAAGTAAAAACATTTTATACCACGTAAACATTGTATTGAATACGTTAAAATCTATTCGTTTGCTATAAGTTAGCACCTAAATCCCCAATTCTGCGCACGTGCATATTTCCTAAAACAAAGCCAGCTTGATGACGTACCCTGATTTGCCAGACTAAAGTAATCACACCTCACTCCACTGAGGCTCCGCATCACACTTCCAATCGAGTACGATGGCTTCAGCAATCTACTATTATGTCTGAAACAACAATATGTACGGAAGTAAAACGTTACAGATGATTTCCACCGAGCAATAGCGTGGATCTTTTCTAGATTTTTGTATTTTAAAAGAAACCATCCTTTGTAACATAGCATCATCCCATCAGTATCAATAACTGTGACAAACAATTTGCCTGGAAGCTGTTTACAGATTAATCCAACAACAATTTTGAGGAGAAAATGGAAAGAGATTCCACCGGCTCTGCAGAAGAGCCCGAGCCGGTGTCCTGCAGGGATAACATTAGTGAAGACACCTGCACAGCTAAAACCTACACCTCTCTAGGGGGAACCTGTGGTGCGACTCCTGTTGCCCAAGCCAGATGGACTCTGTTGAGACAGGTAAATGCTGTTTTCTGATGCTTGTGTCCTAGTGAAACGCCTTTGCTTCGAAATGCTGCTTCAGAAAGATAAAGGGCATTTTCTAATTATTCGGAAGTTTTTACTGTCAAATGCTTGTAATTTTATAGGGCTGCGTGGTGTTTACTGACCACATTTAAACTTTCTAACTTGTCTATAATGTTTAACAAAGTAGAACATCATCTTATTATGTAAATATGTAAAAATAAGTTTTTTTTAAATGTCTCACTCTCTTGAGAGTAGAAATGAATGGGGTGCCATCTGTAAAGTCAAACAATCATAACATTAGAACAATATTTTGGTTTATTTAGCCTATCATAAGAGAAACAAATGGTAGTTAAATTTTAAAGTCATATTTTGACCATGTTATTCATACATTTATAAATGTTGAAGTTCCAAACTAAACATTTAATTAGCAAGCAAACCAATTAATTTTGAGCAAAATATTTATTTTCCAAACTAAATATTTAGGTCAGAGCTAAAAATTTTGTTTGTAAAATAAATATTTAATTTGGAGCTAATTATTTAGAGACAAACTAAATATTTAGCTTCAGATTAAATACTTAATTTCCAAAATAAATATTTAGATCCCTTCTAAATATTATTTACTATGAAGCTAAAATATAGACTTTGAGCTAGTTCTCAAAGTCTATATTTAGGTTTAGCCCCTAAATAAATATTTAACTGGGATCTAAATATTATAGAAAATAGAAATTCATTTTGGAGCTAACTTTTTGTTCACAAACGAAATATTTAGCTCCATATTAAATATTTAGTTAGTAAAATAAATATTTAACTCTAAATTAAATATTTAGCTTGCTAATTGAATAGTTAGTTGGGAGTTGGTTAGCGTTTATAAAAGCATGGTGAAAATATGATTTTGAAAAATGAACTCCCATTTTCTTCTCTTATGAAAGGCTAAATAACTCAGAATATTACTGTTAAGTTATGACTGACTTTACAAATGGCACCCATAAAGACGAAGGATGTGATTATACAGATTTTGCAGAGGGATGGTTAAAAAACTCATCAAAGCATTTATCATTTCACCCTGACATTGTTGATTTATATTAATTATTAAGTAATCTAAAGTTCTCTATAATGACCATTATAAATCACATTTACGCTCATCTACACATAGTTTTCTATGATGTAATCTTTGACACATTGCTCAGTATAAAATGATAAATTGGTCAACCGTCTTCCTGCATACTGAATGAAAGTTTCACTCCACAGATATAAAAACTAAATGTTTCCAAACTTACTAGGATTTTTAAATATTTTATCTTCTAAATTCATACCTTCTTTTTCAGTTTTGTGTTTATTTGTAGGCAAAATCTTTGTTAGTGTCAAAAAGTGGTTAAGGTTTTTCTTAATAATTTATTTTATACATGGATTCTATTTTGTTGTCAGATCTAGAAATCTGTTCTCATTAGCCATCCATATTAATACATCATTTACTTTTAAGTTTACATTTGAAACAGTTTCAGAATGAAATCACATTTGTTTTGTTAACATTCACTTACTAATTTATGCTTTTCATGTGTAACTGTTCCTAAATCCAGGCTTAAAAGCCAAATGTAATAATGTAAAAAAAAAAAAACTAGGATTAGGCAGATTTTACCTGTAATTTACCATTTAATTGATTTATTTTTGTTTAATTTCTTCTCCAATAGAGATGTAAAGACAACCAAATGATGGAAATCAATTGGAATCATATGTTTTTCTCTAAATAGTTTGATTTGAAGCAATGATTTATACGTGTCATTCATATCTCTAAAACAATTCTCATTTTCATGAAAAAAATTGCTCAAGCAGGAAACCAGGGCCCATTGACTCTGCTTGGTTATAAAATAGACAATCATCATTAAATGTGCTTCGTTGAGTTTACTAAAGTGATTCACTCTCGCAGGTGTTGCGTCAGAAGCAATCAGACAGTCCAGAGGTCAAACAGGTGTCCGTTCGCAGGTTTGCCACCTTTGACCTTTTCAGGAGGAAACAAGTTGCAGCACAAGATCGCAGCAATACCTCAGACGACCAGTGGGTGGAGTACAGAAGTGTGTACTTTCCTGAGTACAGTGCCTTCCTCAGGTACACACTTGGCACAAGTTATGATTTCACAAAACCTTAGAAACAGCCAAAGTCATAGTAGAAAATGTTCCTGGTGTGCAGCTATAATAAAATGTTTATTCATGCTAATTGTGTCCATCATCAGATATGTTTGTATTTCTCAGGGATAATCTGGGACCTCTTAGAGTCAATGAAGTACTCAACAGTTTCGACAATACCGGCAACGTCTGTAAGTTCACGTTTTATCTTATTTTTGTGATGTTTATTTTTTATTTTTATACAATAATATATCTTGCTGCTTTTGTTCCACGGTTGGTTTTCTCATATTGACGCCTGGCTTTTTTATTTTATGCATGCTGGGTGGTTGTGAGTTGTCCCTTACACTGCTGTATAACCAACAGTTGTTTTAATGCTGTAGTTTTATGATGTGTTTAAATGAAAACATAGTATCTGTGGTTTTTATCATCATGCACTCAGTCCGTATTATATGCATTCTTTAAAGCATAGTAAAGATTTTAAGGAACAACAAGTAAAATAAGATTTTACAATGATTAGAGAAAGATATTGACGTGTTTATCGGTAAAATCTTTTTTATCTTCAGTTCTTTATTGCACACAATCCTAACGGTAGCTGTTATTAATAACAGCTGGAACATGTAATCCATTTTCCTAAAAAACATCTAGAGGATCAATTCTTTTTGGAAAAGAAATAAAAACACAAAGTGATGTCTTGCCTTGTGCCACCTCAGTGCCCTTTAAAGCTGTCTGTGATTAGTTGTTCTTCATTACCTCCCGGCTCTGAATAAAGCAGTAATCATCATTAAGACGTCCTCAGTCACAAACAAGACATCTTGACGGCCTCACCCCTTCATTCACATTCCTCTTTCTCAATTTAAAATCCCTCCCCATTGCTCCCCCCATTTTTCCTCCCACCCCTCCATCCCTCTCAGCTGGAGTCATGCTTGGCCAGATGGGTAACAGAGTTCCTGACTTGGCCAATGGATTAGCACAGCCGGAGATGAGAGCATAGAGGAAGGGAGAGTAGAATAGGGGGAGAAGGTGGGTGGGCATGCCAGAGGTTGGTGTGTGTGTGTGTGTGTGAGGAGTGTATAAAGCCACTATAGCTGAGGGATCTCGTTCTTCAGACAATGGGGCAACCATCTCCCTCCTGTTCGCCATCTCATGTTTGGGACTAGTAATGCGTGAGATCAATTAGGATTGGTTGAGAGGAGGCTCTGAAAGGCCCAGAGGTGACCCTGTCAGAGCTCCGGGGTATATTTTTTGAAGCATGGGGGAGTCAGATAGAAACCTTTCTGAAAACACTCTCATCTATTTGTATTTTTGTACCATCAGAAGCTACACAGACAGGCACTAATCTACTGCTAGCCGCCATGCTAATAATCACACATTCACGTTGCCCTCCCTCATACTCTCTCCACCTTTCCTGCTGTCTTGATAATCCCCTACCCCTGAGGTGTGGACAAGCCCAAATCCTCGGGGTCCTTGTCCTCCTGAATAGCAGGCTAAAAAGCCTGGCCGGATTAACCCACCACATCCAAAATGTGTGGATTCAGCTTAAAAGTGCTACCCCCTCTCAGCAGGACCTCCTCTCTCCTGCCTTTGTGTTTGTTCCACAAGTGTGCACGTACATGAACAATATGTTGTTTCTTAAAGTGAAGATAAGCCAGAGTCAATAGTTTCATTACAAGAGCCGAGGAGGAGGCAAGGCATCTCAATTAAGATTTTAGGAAATGGAGAGTGTCCTGGGATTGGGATTGCGCTCCAAGACTTCCATTTCAATAAAGTTCCCAGTTTTACTGTCATATCAGTCTTCATTTGGACTTTATAATAAAAACAAGCACTTTTTAAAACAACTTTATTGAGAATGAATCAATAACATAAAACTCATATATAAATAAGAAGTTTCATGTAATCAAATCAGCTCTCAGAAATCTGAGACTTCTCCCTCGGATCACCCAGGTGTGTTACGGGAGGAATTCTCACAGGTCAAAGGTGACTGCCACCTGCTCTTAAACACCCCCTCATGCACACACTGGGGTCATGAAGCAGCAGTTACATTTGTAGCTCATTATATCTTTCTAATAAATAATTAAACCCCTGTCTGACTAGACTCCATCGCTTTGAACCATCTGAACTCTGAACTTCTGACCCTCCCGGTTCTGCAGCCGACGGTGGGGGCTTGTTACTGCAAGAGAGCTTTTGTTAGTGTTTTTAGGAGAACTTGTTTGCCTGCTAAGGGGTCAGGATTTGAGGATACAATACGGGCCCCTTGGGGTGGAGCGACTAAGAATGCATCACTGAATGTGCGACTGAGAGGGTTTAGAGCTCGTTGATGTGTGTGTCTTTTTTTTATAAGATGGCTCTTTGAGCTTTGAGGTGACTCGCCAGATTCATGCTTCACATAACAAAAACTGACTTCTTTTGTTTTTGCACAAATCACACTCATTACATTACATTTAGTATCTAAGTAATAGTTGTTACTTGTTTTAGAGTTTGAAGTTGCAAATGTGTGATGGAGACTTTCCTATTTTATTTTAATAAAAAGTAAGGAAGAGTCTATTGCTTGCATGGAAAAAAAGTATATAAAGTAGTTTAGAAGGATCTTTTAGCCAATCTAAAGTATGTTTCAGTGACACAGTTGTAAAAAAATGACTCATTCATTGTAGATGCCTCCTTGAATATCTGGAGGAAAAGTGTTGACGTCCTACAGTATTGATAAGCTAACAGCTAGGGTTAAAACACTTCTAAGTGCTTAAATTTTGGTATGAGCCATTATTTATTGGTGTGGTTCACTTGTCTAATCAATACATTTGTAGTGGTCTCTAGTAGGAATGAATACCTTGTAAGTCGCTCTTGGGGGGGTGGGGTGGGGGGGGTGATTTACCGGTGCACCATTTCTCTGAACTAAAGGTTGTCCACATCACAGCTGAGCTTCAGACGGCAGGTTTTGGAGTCTTATTTGCTGATTTTTGGATGTCACGCCTCACCCCTCCTTTCCACCGGAGCTGTGATGGAGCCGTCAGCAGCACGTTACTGCAGCAGCACGTCATAGCTGCTGATAGGAACCGCTGTGGTCAACAGAACCTTTTCCCCCGGAGTCATCAGCAGCGCGAGTCGGCCGCGTCTCACGAGCAGCATGTTGTGGCTTTTATGTGCCGGTTCTATTTTCTACGCGCTACGTCTCTGAAACGGGTGAAGTTAGACATTTTTGGGTAAGAAAAGACGGGAAATCGGACGCGGAAACGGAGCGAAGCTTCCCGAGATTTTCAGAATAAAGAAACATACAGCTTTCCGGTTGCTTTACTTTAAAAAAAGGTTACTAACTGTGTGGCCCCGTGAAAAGTTATCACCTAGCTAGCGATCTCCTTTGTTTTTCAGGTCCGTATTGGCGATTATAAAACGGACAGAACGTAAAACACAAACATTTTGGAGCCATGTTGTAGTTATCTCCTGCTTGTTGTTGTGTTTACTGACAAAGTCACTCGTGTGACTTCGTGCTCCTTCGGTGACAGCTGCTCCCCTGCTGCTTCGCGTCTCTGGTGGGAAGGGCCAAGCAGCAGCTTACGCGAGCAAGACGTGCTGCTGCAGTAACGTGCTGCTGACGGCTCCGGTAGAAAGGAGGGGTCAGATTGGATAACAGCAACACGACTCTACAACTGACTTGTAACGATGTTTTATCTCCACAAATAACTTAAGCCTGGAAGAGATTCTGTAGTGTGGTGGTGTTGCTAATGCTAACCGTTAGCATAAAGTAGCCCAGGCGTTCTCTGCTGATTCAGCCTTCCCCATCATGCGTCAAGATTGGTGAGTCCATGAATGCTAATTCACAGTGTGATGTAGATCTGTGAGGATTTTCATATCCTAGAGTTTCACTGTCTATTTTCTATCAGAAGCTAATGCAGGAGGTTGTTGTAGGAGACTATTTTCATGCTCAGCCTGCATGAAAAACTGTGATTGATTATAATCAGAAATAATCATTAAAAATGGTTTTCGGTCGACCACACTCTTTAACAACAAAACTCTGCAGCTTTTTTTATAATGCACAAATATTTAAATGTAATTCAATAGTTAATTACAAATTTGAATTTCACAAGTACTTCCTGAGTTTCTGGAGGTCAGTTCCAAAGGTAATTACTTCATCATTTCTGCTAGAATTTCATATAAATACAATTTCTGTAGATAAAAACAAGCGAGACAAACTTAATGGCAGGTTATAAAGTAACATTCATGTGAATTATTGTGTATTTCAGGAGGCTGGAGCTGTTTGGAAACAAAAGCAATTTGCTTTGGAGTTGAGTGCATAGACAGGATATAAGTGGTATGTTGCTGCCAACTTAGCACTGTTGTAATGTCTCACATGCAGTATTATTTTGAAGTCTTTTGTTGCTGTCATGTTCTCATTACATGGTTAATATGGTAAAAAAAAAAAAAGAAAACTACCACCAGACTCCACCGCATATTTACATTTCTAATGACCATAGAGTTCCTCATGAGGCAAATCTCGGAGATTTGATCTGTAATTTGACAGCGGCTGTACAGTTTGATGCTCTCAGACTTTCATTGAACATTAACGTTCACTGAACAGAGGCTGTTCTAGAAGCTTTTAAAAATGAGTAAGCTGGTGCTTACAACTTTGATATGGAAACACACCTCAGTATGACCAAATTATTGCTTTAAGGTTGGTGTTTCAGTAAAGATTTGGGCTAAAAGAGTAGCTGTTTGGTTAGAATCAGCTGCTGGAAGTGATTGTAACTAAATATCTTCTGAAGGGATGAAAACACGGCTTTGTGTGTGTGTGTGTGTGTGTGTGTGTGTGTGTGTAATGAAGAGCCAAGCATCCTAATGAAGCCTAATAGAGCCTTCTTCACTACAGCTGTCATCGTGCGAATGGCTACCAGCCTTTCAGCCTCTCAGTCATCCCTATTATCTCCTGCCGACTTCACCTATCACCCCCGCTGCTAAATACTATAAGCTCTGACTGCCTGAGTGTTGAGAGGCAGCGTGGTGGGGAGCTGATCATTTCTTTGTGTATCTCATGTAGTGCAGGTATGGGGACTGTTTTCGCCAGGCGGGTTTATTTGCAAAGAATAAACACCCCTGTATCGTATCAAATAAGTCGTCTTGCACACGTGGAAGTGTTGTTTTACTTTTTGTTGACACATGAGATCAGTGGAGCTGTGTTTTAGCTGTTTTAACGTTTTGCTTTTTA